CATTTCTTCTGTTTTGCTCCAGACAAACAGTAGTGACATAAAAAATATTGAATTTAGTTAATTACCACAACAACGGCGACTGAACAATAATTGAGGCCACAATTCGAATCCGTAACGATATATATGCCGAGCACAGTTGAATGCATAAAGGTTGTCAAGTACAAACTTATTTTATATAGGATTTCTGTAACTTACATTAATTTTAACTAGCCATTGCGTCGATTATTTCTGGCAAAAATGAGCGAAAAGATGAAAGCTTACATTACTAAATTTTATTTTCTGAAATGCTTTGTTTCACGGTTAGTGCGACTTCTACTCATCTGTGTGAGTACATTCCACCTTTTCAGTTCAAGTTTCGTACAGCTTTTTCAGCGTACCGTCTACCCCAAAGTGGAAAACTGAGATTCTTGGATGATAAAACTCTATAATGAAGAAAAAGTCTCTGTTAGTGTCAGAAATTTAAGACAAGCAATTCTCCGTTATGTACGCATTCAAACTACGAAAACCAGGCGGAACAATACTAAATAGATTTGCGTTGAAGGAAAAGTTGGGAAGTAATCAAATATAGTAGTAGATCTCCCGAAGAAGATTCAAGTACAAGGAAAAATTGGCTTTGACAGAAATTTAATTCATTATTAATTTAAATAATTGCGCATTTTTCAGCGAATTACTCGTGTTATTAACACAAATATTATTATTTCCCGGTTCCTGTGGTCAGTATTAGTGTACTTTTCAAACTGTATTTAATTTTTGCTGGTTCGCAAGTATAATGTTTAAATCGACTTCAATATTTTGTTGAAATTAATATTTGCATCGTTTTGCCATTAGGTAGTATTTTGTCTGGTTTTTCGAATTCAGCTAATGAAAACAACAATGCAATTAGTTTGTGAATGGAATACCTGACTGCCTAAAAACGAGAGGCGAGAAAAACTTATATTAGCTAAGCTAAAATACACTATTCGTTGAAGTCTTGAATGTCTGGAAAAACTTGCCATATTACATAAGTATAGTCATAGATATATCAATATACATTATGCAGATAATTAGCAAGCGAAAACACAGCAATAACAGAAGGTAAATCACAGCTAACATTAGTGTATGAGATTCTGCCATACGGTATTGTGATATCTGTTCAGTTCTTAGCCTTGGACAACCATAGAAGTTGATACGCAACATGGATGATGTTTCTGCAGAATGTCAATCATTCTAAATATTCGGAACGAGACGTGACTGCGTTAAAAAATTTCTTCCTTTCTCCCGAGCCCAAAATGTGGTAATTGAATTTTCCTGACGGATTGAAAAACTTTATCTTTAGTTTTACATGTTAATATTAAATAGCGGCACTAATCGTTTTTCTCCGTACGAAACAGGCTTCTTCTTTTTGATTTATTACCACCATGATATCGAATTTTAATAGGCGACTGTTGATTACTGGGCTAATATTAATTATGTTGCAATAATACGTTTTGCAAAATTTTCTGATTTTTGAACTTGACTATCAACGTTCTTGTAACAAAGCGCACTTCGGCATTGGTCTGTAGCAGTAATTTTAAGACTCGCGGGTATTGACATTTATGTATGTTAAAGCAACTTATACTTAATAACAAATTTCGTGCTGTAAGTTAATTAATTTAGTCAGTCAGTCACTTTTGATTACCTTATTTCGCGAAGGTCCCGTGTTTTAAGACTCTCGCGTTCT